TGAGGTCATCAAGCTGCAACCTGATTGACAGGCTAAACTCCACCCCTTCACTCTTACTAGTCTCAAGTTGACAACATATTATGTAACTACCACACACACCTTTCCTGATTTTAAAACATACTGTATTCCCAAGTTCTGTTCACAGAGCAGCCTCTTGATTCGTGTACAAGTGCCATGTGAGCACAATGAAGTGTTCTGGAATTCCCACTCTTCTGAAAGGTACCCATATTTTGTTATGATCCACACAGTCCAATGCCTTGGCACAGTCAATAAAACACAAGTAAACATATTTCTGGTATTCTCTGCTTTCACCCAAGAGCCATCTGATATCAAAATTATATCCCTTGTTCCACATCCCCTTCTGAATGCTGCCTGAACCTCTCACACCTCCCCGTCAATATACTTCTGCAATTGTTGGATGCTCTCCAGTGAAATTTAACTTGCATGTGTATCAAAGGCATTGTTCTATAATGTGTGCATTTTTTGGGTCACCATTTTTTGAAATGTGTACAAATATGGATCTCTTCCCAATCAGTTGGCCAAATAGCTGTCTTCCAAATTTCCTGCCATACATGAATGAGTGCTTCCAGTGCTTCATCATCTTGCTGAAACATTTCAGTTGCTATTCTGTCAATTCCTAGAGCATTGCCTTTGGTTAATTCTTTCAGCACAACTTGAGTTTCTTCCTTCAGCACCATTGGTTCTTGATTATATGCTATGTCCTGAAACAGTGGAATGTGCGCTAGTTCTTTTTGGTGCCATGACTCTGTGTAGTCTTTCCATCTTCTTTTAATACTTGCTGCATCTTTCAGTATTCTGTCCAGAGACTCCTTCAAGAATGAAACCCAGGGGTTGCATTTTTTCTTCAGTTCTTTCCATTTAGTTATGCTGAGCATGTTCTTCCCTTTGGGCTTTCTAATTCTAGGTCTTTCACATTTCCTTATAGCACAGTAGAACCCCAGACCTTGACGCTAATCCATTCTAGAAGGAGTGTTGAGATGTGATGCAGTCGAGTTCTGAATCAATTTTTCCCCTAAGAAATAATAAAAACAGATTAATCCATTCTCGACCACCAAGTTTTTACCCTAACCTTGCCTTTCTATACAAAACAGTACACAGAAATAAGTAAATAAGTTCAGGGTTAAATAATATAATTTAAATAAGAAACATGACATTAAAAAAGTTTTTACAGTATGACCCATACCTGGAGACTGATGAGGATCTGGATCTGTGGACACGGGTGTGGAGAGGAGGGATGGAGAGAGAGTCATTGTTTGGAAGGTGAATCCCCTTCCATAAAATCAACTGGTAGCTGCTTTTCAGGAGTGTTTTCCCTTCTTTGCCTTTTTTCACTAGGACCTGGCTGGCTTTCTCTAAAAAAATAAAAATCTGTCGATTGTGGTCTGCTGTTGGTGTTTCCGTAACTGTTTTCTAAAAGGTTTACTCAATTATCATCAACAATATCAATAACACGGTTAACCGGTTCCTTATCATGATGATTCTTTTTTTTTTTTTCATGATGATTCTTTTCAAACACTTTTTTTTAAGACCCATGTTTTTTAAATCTAAAAACAGTACAAAGCCACAAAGACTAAGAAAATTATAACAAAACACTTGGAACACAACTGCAAAAGGTTTAAACACTGCATACTAATGACACCAGCTAATGATGTGACCGAAACACGAACTGCTTTTGTTTACAAAAATCACGTACATCAGGTTGGATTCTGATATTTAATTCGAGCTCCATGCAAAATTTCCTCGACATTTCACGTCAAAATCCGATTATGTCCAGTACTGATGCGGTTGAGTACCAGGGTTCTACTGTATTTTATTGTCTTCTAGAGCTTCCCTGTGAAATTTTTTGTTTTCTATTCAGCTCTTTGACTTCATCATTTTTTCCATTTGCCTTAGCTACTCTACAATTAAGAGCAAATTTGAG